TTAACCAGGGATTCACATCAGCACAAATTCTAACAGTAAGAAACGTTTCTGGTACTTAATAACCCATAATAAATGTAAACAAGAAAACGACACGAAAAGCCCGGGTATTAATGACATTAATGGGGTTGCAGACCCACTCAAAACTACAACATTACTTTAGCAACAACAAGAACACTTAATCTGCATTCCAAATCAGAGAAATTATGATAAAAATGAAACTTACAAATGCACATGAAATGATGTGACATTATTGACCACTAGCCCTCTACAGTACTTGTGAAGAGCAAATTTTACATACCAGAACTACAACATGTGAACAAGGATATTTCCTCCTTAGAAAAACCAGTTTTCTACTAAAACAAGGCTTACATGGCAATGAATATTATTCAAAGGCTCAGGTAAATAGCATAATTTTGTTAACCTGGCCTAATTTCTGATTTAATTGGCTACTTATTTATGTACAATCATATGTAACAAATGTAAGGGTGCATAAGCCCAAAGATCCATTAAAGTACTTCTGCACCATCTTGGAAAGCCAAGTTACAATGTCAGTACTGCTTGTCTGCCCTGCTGGTGCATAGCAGATTAGGGCTCCATACTGACAATGAATATGAGAGTCAACAATGGCAAAGGCCCCTGTCTCCCAGATCAATAGTGCCACACTTTGAAAGTCAGAGATTAGCACAGCAACTTGCTTTTGATGATGGGCCGCTCGTGTTTGCAATGACTGGACAAGGGGTGATAAATCACCAGATCGCAAATCAAATCCAATGGGTTGATTGTAATGGGAAATGTGTAGATCATTTCCACAGCACTCGACAGCATCTTCAGTGTCAAGGTTTCTGGCCTCTCCATCAAAGAGAAGGTCATGCAGAGCATTACCCTCAAGCATTGAGTCGACAATTACTTGAAACCACTGACTTGGTAGGGTGCTCAAGGTTAGCTCTGGCAGGGTAAGTTTGACAAACTGGTATCCTACCAACAATGCTATGATGGTGCATACGTTGCTTCCTTGGCGACCACCAATAGTAGACTGGCTGAGGTTTGCTGAGAAGCAAAACTGCTTTATCTCACTCAGACCAAAAGGATCATAAACCAGTCGTACCGAATATGACATTCTTGAGCCCCCACTACTTGATGTAAATGATCCAGACACCAGGATAATGTCATCACGATAATCACGCTCTGAGTTACTGTTGGTGATAACCTCTCGGCCAGTAATGACTCGTCTGCGGAAAGATCCATACTTGCTTGCAGAGAGGTTTCCACCAGCAGTATATTTCAGGACACTAAATATTGATTCAATGGCACTACCATTGATTCTAAGAGGACTGATGAAATAATCAGGACAGGCTGCCATGAACCACCAACTGAACTGCAGGAAGCCATAAACCATAAATCTCAAAAGGTCCCATGTCTGCAAAAGAAAAAAAAATCTGGATTACAATTCTAATTGTTTGTGTAGAAAAGTGGTTGTCTTGATAAGCAATACATTGCAATTTGTATTCCTTACTAATCATTTCAACTTGGAGGACCAGCTTGTTGACAATCATTTTAAAATATGCATGAACTTTTTTTTTTCATCCAGGTGCTTTTCTTAGTTTTAGGGTTACACCCTAGCTCTCTGGACAGATTACTAATATTACCCACAGCCTGTTAATGCCAAGTTGCAATATTTGAATAACTGGATTTTTCTGTTAACTAGATATAGTTGCATCCTTGGCCAGTT